CAGGCTTACAGAAGCGGCAGGGCCTAAGCCAGGCCCGAGCTACTGAGAAACTGGAGAAGCAGCAGAAGCTGGAGGCCGAGCGGAAGCGCCGCCAGAAGCACCAGGAGTTCCTGCAGACCGTGCTGCAGCATGGTAACATCAGCATTCTGTTTAGTATACACCAGCCTTACAGAAGCGGCAGGGCCTAAGCGAGGCCCGAGCTACTGAGAAGCTAAAAAAACAGCAGAAGCTGGAGGCCGAGAGGAAGCGGCGCCAGAAGCACCAGGAGTTCCTGCAGACCGTGCTGCAGCATGGTAACATCAGCATTCTGTCTAGTGTACACCAGGCTTACAGAAGCAGCAGGGCCTGCGGGAAGCCCGCGCCACTGAAAAGCTGGAGAAGCAGCAGAAGCTGGAGGCCGAGAGGAAGCGCCGCCAGAAGCACCAGGAGTTCCTGCAGACAGTGCTGCAGCATGGTAACATCAGCATTCTGTTTAGTATACACCAGGCTTACAGAAACAGCTGAAGCTGGAGGCAGAGCGGAAGCGCCGCCAGAAGCACCAGGAGTTCCTGCAGACCGTACTGCAGCATGGTAACATCAGCATTCTGTTTAGTATACACCAGGCTTACAGAAGCAGCAGGGCCTGCGCGAAGCCCGAGCTACTGAGAAGCTAGAGAAACAACAGAAGCTGGAGGCCGAGAGGAAGCGCCGACAGAAGCACCAGGAGTTCCTGCAGACCGTACTGCAGCATGGTAACATCAGCATTCTGTTTAGTATACACCAGGCTTACAGAAGCAGCAGGGCCTGCGCGAAGCCCGAGCTACTGAGAAGTTAGAGAAGCAGCAGAAGCTGGAGGCAGAGAGGAAGCGCCGCCAGAAGCACCAGGAGTTCCTGCAGACCGTGCTGCAGCATGGTACGAAAAATTTACCTTATAACTAAGACGGTTTTAAAATCACTCCCCGTCCATCAATTTCATCTCCTGCTATCCGTTTTTCAGCGGGGAAAAAACTAGATCTACTACTGTTCCACCTAGGCCCTCCAACAACTGTACACTGCCCGCTCTCCAAATTTCCCGCCACTTACCTTCACTTGCTAAGCGCCCTGGTAATCCTTTTCAGAGCTTCGCATGGATTTTTAAACTAGAAATACTATAACAGCCAAAACAGTCCACTGCTGGACATGGGCCTCCCCCTATAATTTGCCACGCTTTGCAGGCGGATTGGCGAGCGCAGTGCAAGGTGTTGTATTTACAGAGAACGCTGCGGCCCATTCCTTGGATTCAACCCTTAGTCGGTTTTTACCCAAGGGTAGATATGGGGTGATGCTATTCTAAGCCGGCAGCACACGGTAAACGGATTTTTACACTAAGTAGTAACTTTTTATTCAAGATATATTTTCTCGTCCCACAGCAAAGGACTTCAAGGAGTTCCACCGCAACAACGTGGCCCGCGTGGCGCGCATGAACAAAGCTGTCATGAACCATCACGCCAACGCAGAGCGGGAGCAGAAGAAGGAACAGGAACGTATCGAGAAGGAACGTATGCGCCGGTAAGTAACACTATTAGCTGCGTGGTGTCATGGTTGTCTGACGTGAAAAGTTGTCATGAACAAAGCCGCCATGAACCATCACGCGAACGCAGAGCGAGAGCAGAAGAAGGAACAGGAACGTATCGAGAAGGAGCGTATGCGCCGGTGAGTATCCGTGCTTTAGAGAGCACGTTACTGAACAAAGCCGTCATGAACCATCACGCCAACGCAGAGCGAGAGCAGAAGAAGGAACAGGAACGTATCGAGAAGGAGCGTATGCGCCGGTGAGTATCCGTGCTTTAGAGAGCACGTTACTGAACAAAGCCGTCATGAACCATCACGCCAACGCAGAGCGAGAGCAGAAGAAGGAACAGGAACGTATCGAGAAGGAGCGTATGCGCCGGTGAGTATCCGTGCTTTAGAGAGCATGTTACTGAACAAAGCCGTCATGAACCATCACGCCAACGCAGAACGAGAGCAGAAGAAGGAACAGGAACGTATCGAGAAGGAGCGTATGCGCCGGTGAGTATCCGTGCTTTAGAGAGCACGTTACTGAACAAAGCCGTCATGAACCATCACGCCAACGCAGAACGAGAGCAGAAGAAGGAACAGGAACGTATCGAGAAGGAGCGTATGCGCCGGTAAGTAACACGATTAGCTGCCTGGTTGTCTGACGTGAAAAGTTGTCATGAACAAAGCCGTCATGAACCATCACGCCAACGCAGAGCGAGAGCAGAAGAAGGAACAGGAACGTATCGAGAAGGAGCGTATGCGACGGTGAGTATCCGTGCTTCAGAGAGCACGTTACTGAACAAAGCCGTCATGAACCATCACGCCAACGCAGAGCGAGAGCAGAAGAAGGAACAGGAACGTATCGAGAAGGAACGTATGCGACGGTGAGTATCCGTGCTTCAGATAGCACGTTACTGAACAAAGCCGTCATGAACCATCACGCCAACGCAGAGCGGGAGCAGAAGAAGGAACAGGAACGTATCGAGAAGGAGCGTATGCGACGGTGAGTATCCGTGCTTTAGAGAGCACGGTACTGAACAAAGCTGTCATGAACCATCACGCCAACGCAGAGCGAGAGCAGAAGAAGGAACAGGAACGTATCGAGAAGGAACGTATGCGCCGGTGAGTATCCGTGCTTCAGAGATCATGTTACTGAACAAAGCTGTCATGAACCATCACGCCAACGCAGAACGAGAGCAGAAGAAGGAACAGGAACGTATCGAGAAGGAGCGTATGCGCCGGTGAGTAACACTATTAGCTGCCTCCATGGTTGTCTGACGTGAAAAGTTGTCATGAACAAAGCTGTCATGAACCATCACGCCAACGCAGAACGAGAGCAGAAGAAGGAACAGGAACGTATCGAGAAGGAGCGTATGCGCCGGTAAGTAACACTATTAGCCTCCATGGTTACCATATACTACTACACTACACAATAAAGTCCACTGTTGAACATGGGCCTCCCCCTAGTAGGGGGTATTTGCCATACTCACCACACTTGGCAGGCGGTTCGGTGAGCGCAATGCAAGATGTTGCAATGCGATTGCGAAATTCATCCAGGGATTGAACCTCTGGATGAATTTATCCCTTAGTCGCCTCTTACGTCACCCACGGGAAAGATTTGGGGTGATGACATTCTAAGCCGGAATAACACGGCAGGTTGTCTCCATGGTTGTCTGACGTGAAAAGTAGCGACACAAGTGTATCCTCCGTGAAGTTGTCTTGTGAAAAGAGTCGCACTCGCTTCGCTCACAGCTCGAATGTATCCTCCATGGTTGTCTGCTGCGAAGAATCGCGCTCGCTTCGCTTGCGGTTCAAATGTATCTTCTATGGCTATCTGGGATCGAAGTCTGCTACATCAAAATCGTATCAGTTGGGTGTCGATGTCATGTCAGTTGGATTGTTTTGGTAATTTCGTATTCTGCTAACAGTTTTTAGTATAGAAAATCACAGTGGCAACAGAACTAGCGTTACAATGGCTAAAAAAATAGCAGATTTAGGGTCCTGGTGTGAAGAGTCATTCTCGCTTCGCTCGCGACGCGAGTGTATGCTTCATGGTTGTCAGGCCTGATTAGCGCGCTCGCTTTGCTCGCATAGCCCTCGTAAGACTACTAACTGACTAACTCCTCTGACTCAACGACCCAAAAAGGATCTTGGCCTCCGAACGAAGCGATTCTCAAGTCAGCAATTGGCAGGAGATCGCACAGGACAGGACAAGACAGGACAGGGATCAGTAGAGAGAACTCATAAGACTACTGTTAGTAATAACATCAATGCATTTTTTTTAATAATTCCTTTCTATTCCCCCCCAGACTTATGGCGGAGGACGAAGAAGGTTACCGGAAGCTTATCGACCAGAAGAAAGACAAGCGTCTGGCGTTCCTGCTGTCACAAACAGACGAATACATCGCCAGCCTTACGGAGATGGTGAAACAACACAAGCAGGAGCAGCGCAAGAAGCAAGTCGAGGAGGAGAAACGCAAGAGGGTAAGCGAGCGCAGTGTAACAAGCGTGTGTCCTACTGTCACAATACATCGCCAGCCTTACGGAGATGGTGAAACAACACAAGCAGGAGCAGCGCAAGAAGCAAGTCGAGGAGGAGAAACGCAAGAGGGTAAGCGAGCGCAGTGTAACAAGCGTGACTAGATCCTACTGTCACAATACATCGCCAGCCTTACGGAGATGGTGAAACAACACAAGCAGGAGCAGCGCAAGAAGCAAGTCGAGGAGGAGAAACGCAAGAGGGTAAGCGAGCGCAGTGTAACAAGCGTGACTAGATCCTACTGTCACAATACATCGCCAGCCTTACGGAGATGGTGAAACAACACAAGCAGGAGCAGCGCAAGAAGCAAGTCGAGGAGGAGAAACGCAAGAGGGTAAGCGAGCGCAGTGTAACAAGCGTGACTAGATCCTACTGTCACAATACATCGCCAGCCTTACGGAGATGGTGAAACAACACAAGCAGGAGCAGCGCAAGAAGCAAGTCGAGGAGGAGAAACGCAAGAGGGTAAGCGAGCGCAGTGTAACAAGCGTTTGTCCTACTGTCACAATACATCGCCAGCCTTACGGAGATGGTGAAACAACACAAGCAGGAGCAGCGCAAGAAGCAAGTCGAGGAGGAGAAACGCAAGAGGGTAAGCGAGCGCAGTGTAACAAGCGTGTGTCCTACTGTCACAATACATCGCCAGCCTTACGGAGATGGTGAAACAACACAAGCAGGAGCAGCGCAAGAAGCAAGTCGAGGAGGAGAAACGCAAGAGGGTAAGCGAGCGCAGTGTAACAAGCGTCTGTCGGTCCTACTGTCACAATACATCGCCAGCCTCACGGAGATGGTGAAGCAACACAAGCAGGAGCAGCGCAAGAAGCAAGTCGAGGAGGAGAAACGCAAGAGGGTAAGGCTTAATTTATTCTTGGCCGTAAGTCGTTCAGTTCCAAGCAGCAACCAGCTTGCAACGATTTGGGTTTGGAAAACTTGCAAAATTTTCCACCGCGGGCTGGATTTGAACCAGCGACCTTCGCCATTTGTACTGGCCACGCCTCTACCAACTGGGCTACAGCGGCTCACTCCAAGCCCGCGAAATTTACAAGTGTATCTTGACCACTAACGAGTGGTAGGGGTCGATCTACTGAGATAGTTTTTCAACTAACTTCCAGCGACTAATCCATTCTTTACAGATTGGATATAGCCAAAACGATGAAACCCCGCGATACATTGAATACCCCAATTTTGAAATGTTTTAAAATTTGGGTTCTTCTAAGTTTCTTCGTGCAACAGCGAGGATTCATAGTTGGTGGAGTAGCCGCGAAGTTCATATCAACGCCAAGCAGATGCTGGGCCGCCGCGGCTGATAGATTGGCCATAAGCAAGCATTTTTCTGGTTTTACTCGCAAACTCAATTCAACCTACATTTATTTGTAACTTTTTATTATTTTTTACAGAAATCCCGCAAGAAGAAGTTGTTGGAGGGCGGCGAGATCGACGCCATGGATGACAGCTCGCAGACGTCCGACTCGCGCGTCACCGTCATGGACCCCAAGACCGGCGAGGTATGCATACTTAAGCTCATTTTATTACGCATTTAACGCTTTTGTGCTGCAAGCATCTCAGCCACAACATCTCCACTGAGACCTGTTACTTATTTGAGTAGAGAAGTTATTCAACGGGACTTGGTGTCGTGCAGTTTCGCAGTTAGTTCTTCTGAGCCTTTAAAACTGGAATCCAGAAGATTCTTGCAGCATTACGGCAGGAATTCGTGCACGCTTTATTATATCACACAATATAGTAGATAGTCGAGTTTCAAGTGATTTTGAACAAAATTGGCATTCCACGAAAAAGTCAACTTTTGTCCGTACGTGACGTGTATGGGAGCTCCCACTTATGCTTAAGATACAAAGTTACAGTAGTTGTAGAATCTAATGCCCTTTTGTTACTTTCAACACCATATTTAAAATATCCATGCGTCTCACACGGAAATATTAGAAATCAGTGCGTCACGTACAGACAGTTTCGTGGAATACGCAGGACTCAAAGTGCTTGGAAACAACATTGTTTCCAAGCACTTTGAGTCCTGCGTATTTAATGTAGAACCGTATCTGCAGGTGCTGAAGGGCGAGGAAGCCCCACTGCTGTCTCAGCTGAAGGGCTGGATGGAGCAGCACCCCGGCTGGGAGGTGGTGTCCGACTCCGACGACTCGGGCGACGACTCACAGGACGACGACGGTAACTGTAATCAACTTTTATATTTGCTAGATTAGTACAAAAAAAATTAATGTGAGGAAAATGCTGAGAATATATTTGATAAGGAAGAACAAGCCCATCTCATGAAACTAGACATTTGACCATAGGTAATCTAAGGGCCGCCGCACACAGACGGCCGTTTTTCCGCGCGCCGTCGCGCGACCATTGCGCGAGGCAGACAGAACGCACGTTAGTCGCGCAAACTTTTCACGAGTTATACACAAATGAACCCTATCGTAATTGAATTAAAGTTGACATTAGCTACAATGAAAGAAAACGTCTCTCATGGTCGCCCGGCGTAAAACGTCCGGTCTGCGCGGGCGGCACCGGAAAAACGGCCGTCTGTGTACGGCTGCCCTAAGACTGCTGTACCCATACCAATGAAATCAAAGCAGCTGGCCTTGAGCGACCAATACAGACAAATCCAACTCCAATTTTCCAGCGTCCAATTTTATTTTATAGAAAAACAAAAATCACGACATCAACAAACATGTCTGATACACATATATTGTTTCTCATTTACAGACAAGAGACACAAACACAGGGATGATAAGAATGAGAACAGGGAGAAGACAGAAGAAGAGAAGGCTCGCGAGATGATCAAGAAAGCCAAGGTGGAAGACGACGAGTACAAGACCGAGGAACAGACCTACTACAGGTAAATTGCAGTGAAGAATTGCAAGGGGCAGTCCTGGTCCGATTCTTTTGTTTAAATAAATAAATATCCCTGGACGAAACACACTGCGCCATCTAGCCCCAAACTAAGCAAAGCTTGTACTATGGGAACTAGACAACTGATATAATACTTAAATACTTTTTTTTTGTAAATAAATACATATTATACATAGAAAACACCCAGACTTAACACAAATATTTGAAAATTGACTTTACAAATATTTGTGTCCAGTGGGAATCGAACCCACGACCCTCGGCGTAGAAGGCAGGTGCACTATCCACTACGCCATCGGGACAGTCGTTTCTACTATATGTGGGCATAAATCTGATAAAATCATACGATTTTATATGTCATTGCTTCACTTCTACTTGAGCATTTAAAGGAAAAACTGGCATGCCCTTGGCAAGGCAACATTGAGTTGTTGTTTTCACTAACAGTCAAGTTGAACATTTGTAAAGCTGTATGAGATTTTCTTATTGGACGGTCCCAGTTTTTGTTCTCGTGTAAGAGACGCAATAATGTGTAATACTTGCACTACTAGACAAGTGTCGCTATTTATTTTAGAATACAAAAGACGCCTTTTTCTCCCCCAGTTTCTTAACTTTTTACCCGACTGCCTCAGAAGGAGGGTTATGTTTTTCGAGAGTATGTAATGTATGTAGACAAGAATTTTTTTTTTCACGGGCTACAACCCAAACGGATAGTTGGATTTTGACATATGAGGTGTCGTTAGATTCGTCTCAGCAGCGCAAGTGACACTGGCTATATAAAAAAATCATAAATTCAAGATGGCGGATTTTTATCACAAAATAATTGAACACAAACAAAAATATTTTGTAATTACCGCAGTCGGGTTTTTGTTTTTTAATACATCAGATCAGATCAGATTGTTAACTGACCTAATTTGTTTCACAGCATCGCTCACACGGTCCACGAATCCGTCACAGAACAAGCCAGCATTTTGGTCAACGGAAAACTCAAAGAATACCAGATCAAGGTAACATTTTGCTTCCATCATCCTACTGTATCTTTAAAAATTCTAGGGATATACCACGAAAAGTTAGACACGCGTGTGTAAAAATATCTTCATACACTACTATAATAGTCACATTTAAGTCCACTGCTGAACATGGGCCTAGTGGGGGGTATTTTAGACTAGTGATGTGATTATTTCATCGACTTTTTTTGGTTAGTTATGTAACAGGTTGTATAATAAATGCCCAGAAATGTCTTGAGTTATGAATCTTATTTGTACATGTTTCAGGGTCTGGAATGGCTGGTTTCATTGTTCAACAACAACCTGAACGGCATCCTGGCGGACGAGATGGGTCTCGGCAAGACCATCCAGACTATAGCACTGGTTACCTACCTCATGGAGAAGAAGAAAGTCAACGGACCTTTCCTCATTATTGTGCCGCTCAGGTAGGCTCATTTTGAATTATGATGACGAATATTTCGTAGTAGGACTATGTATTAGCTAAGGTTCTTATACTTTTGAATAATTTCATGAAATATGTAAGCCTTTTCATGGTCTACTATTCTCTCTCTACTATGAATTTTAGTTTATGATGAGCCCTTTATACAGTAGTTCGATAATGACAGCATTTTACCTACCAATAAAATGCTTATTAAACTACTTGCCTCCTATAACCATACTTATACATGAAAGTAGCAACTCTTCTATGCAGCTATGGTCGCTCCTATCTGTCCTTGCTCGTGATTGGCTGCTTCCACCTCCCCGCTCCTCACTCCGACACGGCAGGGCGGGGCGAGTCGGCCTAATTGTAATTTATATGCCACATTTACTTACACTAAATAGATCCGGAGCCAAACTTGACGAATAGTTAGGTACTCGAGCACAAAGCGGCAACGTCGCGTTCTTCGTGTGACAAAGAACACAGGAAGCTATTTCGTTAGAGTAACAAGTTAAGAAAGATACGTTTTGCGGACCAAACATCTTTTTTTTTTTTTGCATCAAATATACGTAAACAGATCTTAAACAACATAAAGACACCGTTAATCCCTATTTGGGTTTGTCTCGATGTCTGCATTCCGTGACAATCCACATCTGCAACATCCTAGCGAAGTCTCTGGAACCATCCTGGACTGTTAGGACTGCGAACATGTGTACTGGCAGCTGGAAGACGTCTTCCTTTGTGCGATGTCCAAGCAGCATACTTTGCCATCAGGTCGCGGGTGGGTGCGGATGACTTCTCCTAGTGGTCATAGGTTGCGGGGCAGGTTTGCGTCGACCACGATGTCTAGGTCCCCTTCCTTGACGTTGCGGGAGTTGTGTCGGTGTCGGCGCCAGAATACGTCTGCTAGCGCCATAGTTGCCTTCCAAGTATGTTGACTGGCGTGTTCGCAGGTGCCGGTGATGGGTAGACCACTTGACGACCCGATGAGGAAGTGGTTTGGTGTAAGTGCCTCCGGGTCATCCTTGGAGACTGGAACGTGGATGAGCGGCCTACCGTTGATCGTGTGCTTAGTCTCGCAGAGCACGGTGGCAAGAACTAAGTCTCGCGGGTATTTGTGAGCCTCGTCTTGGTAGACCGGATACGGCGTTCCCAAGCTCCTCCCTGGTTCGAAGATCCCAGTGCGATACACTTCCATTCTGTCTTATTGATGGCTGCGTAGTCCTTGAGCGCTGGCAGCCATTGTGTCAATTGTGTGTAGGCAGCTTGGAGCTCGGCGGCGTCTGCTTCCTTGAAGTTGACGGTGTTGTCTGACCATATCGTGTGCGGCCATCCTCCTCTCGAAGCTATGCGCATAAGAATAAATAATAACACTACCGTGTAGAAGTGAAACTCCTTTGTCTGGGCCCGAAAAGCCGCGCTTTAAATGCCTACTTCCCCCCTCAGCCCGCAACGCCCCGCGCGCTCCCGCACATTAAGCCAGGGCTGTCACGTGCTAATAGTTTTATTCCAAACTAGCGGCTCGCCAAGCAGTTGCATGACTTTCGGCGTAGTTTGTTTACACACCTACGCGCCATAGGATGAAAAATCGTGCAAATGCAATTATTTTAAAAGATTTGCGATGAATACGAATTTGTTTGTTACCATAATCAGCTAACAATAACTTAGACACCTTACCTTAAATAAGTAGGTATGTCGGGTTAGAAAACTGAACTGAAACTATGTACTTGTA